TTTCTTATGGGTTAAAAAATGACGAATCCAAACAAGGACCCCTATGTTTCTAAGGCAACAAAGAAAGCACTCATGATAAAAATCTTTAGTTCAACACCAAATGCTTGGTTTATGGATATCTTGGAAAACATTCCGAGGTATAGAGAAGATGGACCACCATACTGGCTAATATTTGTCGGTCAAAACACAAGATACTGTGAAGCCATACCATTACAGTCCAAAAATATTTTAGATGTGAAAACTGCTTTGACAATATTCGTTGACAAATACCATCCAACAAAACTGACATCTGACTGTGAAAGTTCTTTCAAATCAGACGATATTAAAAACTATCTGCGTTCAAAAAATGTAAACCAATATTTCATTGTCGACCAAAACCATTCTGCTCTTGGTGTCATTGACAGTTGTATAAAAATCTTAAGAGACTTAAACCAACCACAAGGTGGTGAAGCAAATGAAATGTCATATGACGACAAATATAGACATTTCTCCATGGCAAAGATGAGACAAGTTTTAAATATTTACAATAACCGTAAACAAAAAGGTTTGGGAAACCACTCCCCCGAAGAAATGAAAAACAACCCTGACTTAGAGAAAGACTATATATTTAATAGTTTAGTCAAAAGAGACAAACAAGAAAGAATGCCAGGCTTCAAACTTAAGAAAGGTGACAAAGTAAAAATAGAAATACCTAAACGCGACCCATATGAAAATACTATTGACTATGACAACAATGGGAACTCGACAGGTACTCACCTTCGTGTTCGTAAAAATAGAAGAAAGTATACAAGAGAATATTATGAAGTTTTAGGCAAACATGGCAAAATGTACAGACTGCAAGCAGAAGATAAAACTACTATTGTCAGACCTCGTTTCAAACTTGTCAAAGTTCAAGGTGGTATACTTTCAAAGACAGTTCCTAACAAATATAAGACAACTCCTGACGAATATGCTAAAGAAGTTGAAAATGACGACTAAGCAATTCTATACCATGCGTAAACTGTCATGTAAGGTGGCATGTAGTCTTTACTTTGTCCCGTTGTTTGTGTATATCCTGTAACGCGATGTGTATGGTTTCCATCTCCCTGAGTGTCACTCCAGTAACAATTTATAGCAAACTGAACGTCGTCTTTAACATCATATCCTTTACCTTTTTTCAAGGCGTGCCAATCCCAAAATTTATGCTTATGCCAACCTGCTTGAGATGTACTTAAATCTACGTAGTGACTGTGTGCAGGTAGGTTTTCACCTGAAATCGTTTTACTTCCGCCTGTTTCCTTTGAAGAGTTTGCACAATACAAAAACCTGTCGACTATTTGAGTCCAAGTTCCGAGACCAAGTACTACTTCTGGTCTGGTAGAGTTCATTGACGTATAAATAGAGCCTATAGGATATAATGTTTGAAGTATTTCTGTCTTTAATGTTTGAAGCTCTGTTTTGTCTGCTTTCTTGTCATATAAATCTTGAGCAGTGAATTTAATATTATGTTCATCCTTCATGACATAAACATCTTTACATCTAATGTTTAACATCGTCGTTATGTCGTCATCCGATGTTAAACCTTGTGGAAAGTTAGGAGGTTTACAATATATTGCATCCCCACCAGTTTCTTCAACCGTTCCTTCAATACTTTCTATAGCAACAGTTGTAAAACTTGTATGTGTATGGTTCTTGTCTGCTTTCTTCTCTAACTCATCGTTAACATAAGTTTTATCTGCTTTAAGGTCTAAACATCCTGAAACCCATCCTGTATCGGCTTTAACTTTAAAAGTCTCCGATGTCCATTCATGGTACCAGTCAACCCTTTTTTTCATTTCGTTATCTTTTTCATCCACATATTCCTTATCCGCTTTCTTCTCTAACTTACTAGCCACATATTCCTTATCTGCTTTCTTTTCAAGGCTAACGTTTAAGTCTGTTATTTCAGATATAGAATGTGTATGAGTCTTTTTAGAATATTCGTTTTCAGCTCTTGTCACTTCACTTGACATTTTATTGTCAACATATGTTTTGTCTGCTAGTTCAGGATGAGTATGTTCTTTTGTTGCATAAGCATTGTTAGCTCTTTCTTCTTCTTTTGCTATTGCATCGTCTACATATTCTTTGTCAGCTTTGTTGTCAACATCCGTTTTCAAAAGAAGTTCATTTATAGGTTTCTCGTTTAAAGTTCCTTTTGTTGGATTTATACAGACAGTATTGTTCTTCTTGTCTTGAAATAGAAACTCATCTGTCATTGGGTTTAATGTCAGTTTTAAGTTTCCTTCTTTCAATGACTCAGATATCTTAGAATAGTTTGAAAAGTTTGTTGTGTTCTTATTTAGAGCTTGCATAATGAGTTGTCGGTTGTTTGTATTTCTCTCATGGAAGCAATATCTTTCGACATTTTTATTCTAGATAAAATATGCTTCCAATAGAAAAAGAAAATTCAAGAGTTGCTACAACTAAACCATTAGATGAACTTTTTACTAATGTCGGTCAAAAGTTTGAGACAGAGACCGTAAAGCATGAAGGCTATCGTTTTGACTACCCATTAAGATGGCTAAGAGACCCATCTGTCACAAAAGCTATTGGCTTTCGTAGAATGAAGTTTGTGTCTGTAGAAGATAAAAGTTTTCCATTTATTGTAAGGTTTCATATAGATTATATATCTGAAGGGAAACGAAAAATGTGGGAAGAAATTGAGCTAATACAAGTTGACCTTTCATCTTCTCTACAGACTGCGTTAAAAAATATAGAAGATAAAATAAATTCATGTTATGCAAAATATGCTGATGAATATGCAAATACCGAGAGCACACTTTATGTGAGAATTGTATATGACAAACAAAATTCACAAGTGTCATTTCAAATCTACGAAGACAATCCAAAGAAAGACGAACAAATATATACAGAATTCACTGCAATGTCATGGTATTATTTGCAAAGAATGTTAAATCAGAAAGTCAAACTTCCTTTAGCAAATATTTACAGTCGATATGCAAGAGATGAACCATATTTATTTAAAGATGTTTTCGACCAAGATGCTATTATTGTTCATGCTTCATTTTCTGGCGCCCAAAACTCTTTCTTATGCTTGGCAAATGACTTTTACGAAAAACCTACAAAGTTATACGAACCACCAAGTGGAAGTATTTCAGACTTTCAAGTATGGTTTACTACAGATGGAAGAAAAAGAATAATTCCATTATACCATGCGTTTTACTTAGAACTTAGTTTCATATACAACTACTATCGAACGGTAAAAATATAATTTTTTAATACGGTTGAGGTGTTGGATTTGGTTGCCAACTTGACTGTGGTGCAGGTTCAGGCTGTTGTATAACAGGAGCTTGTTCTTCTGGTTCAGGGTCTTTAGGTATAATACCAACAAACTGACCTACTCTTTTACCAATATTTTTGACTCCGTTCCAAATTCCTCTTCCGACAGATTTTATTCCATTCCATATACCTCTTCCAACATTTCGAAAGAAGTTTCCTATTCTTCCAAAGAAACCCATTTTACTATATGTAAAAATCTAATGTCCGCCTAGTCTCTTACGTTTCCTTCTGAGTTCCATTGCATTCTTTAACTGGAGCTCATACATTCTATTTCTCCTCTGGTAGAAAACATACTCTGGGTCAACTCCTGTGTTCGCGTCATCTGCATAGAGTTGTTTATATCCCACTTCAGGGTTTGTATAAAACTCTTTCCATCTCATATTTGCATACCATGGTGGCAAACCTAACGCAGCGTCATTTGACATGGCAGTTTGCATTTGTACATCTGTTGGCACTTGACCATAGTTTGCCATTGCAGTTTGTATTCTAACTTCATTTGGAATATTCTCTGGGTTTGGTTGTCCAGGTTGCTGTGCATTCGCTAAGTTCTGTGCGTCCATTTAATATTAGATAAAAATATCTCTTACGAGTACATATGCTGAACATTTGCAGGCATTGGTTCATCTTCATATTCTCTATATCTTTCTGCCACGTCAAATAAGTAAATGACACAATGGAAAAAACCTAAAACAAGTAGTCCTATTTCAAACCACATTTACTTACCAATAAAATTTCTTTGTTATGACACTTTTTCCGGTTTATAGGACCTCTCTCATATTCTATTTTATCGTAAATAAACTCATAGCCATGTATGTCCTCTAACCATCTCATAACGGTTTCCAAACCACTTTTATCGGATGTAAAGTAAAAGCATGGATGGTTATGTAAAACGTCTAAAGTTTCTAAAGAGTCTCTCAAAGTCCAGTCTACTTGGTATTGAAAATCCCATGTGTTATAGAACGGCGGGTCCACTATAAAGAAAACATTTTCCTTGTCTTTATATTTTTCATACAACTCTGTCCAACGACATCTCACAAACTCTATACCCTCAGTATATTTTTCTATGTTCTCTTTGAAAACCTTTGTATAGTTAAGATATAAAACTTTTGACATAAGTGTTTCAATGTCATGAACTCTTATAGCACCACTATATAATAGTCTAGAAGATATACTATCCCAGTCAATATACTCTGCTTTTTTCAAAACCTCTCTGACAGTATTTTTCTTATCTAATGGTATACGTTCCATCTTACCTATAGGTATCTTTTCTTTTAACTCTTTCAATATTTTGTTTGTGTCTGGTATATGTTTGAGACGGTTCATATAGTTGTCGAAGTCATTGCATATAATCTTTGAGTCAGGAAATACAGTATGGCACAAATGGGATATATAGAAACTTCCACCGAACAAATCTACAAATGTTAGACCATTCGGTAGTTTCTTAAGTTCTCTCAATAGAATATCTTTACATCTACTCTTATTTCCAAAGAAGGGTAACGGTGGTTTTGTAAAATTCATTTTATATACAATAAAAATGTTTTTACCCTGAAAAGTGACAGAAAAGTGACTGGGGCTAGAGGGCACGAAGTGCCTGGAAGCCCCAATACCTTTTTTTTTTTTTTTTTTTTTTTTTTTTTTTTTAGTTCTCCTTAGTCTCTCATGATAAATTTTATTAATAAAAATTAATTTTTGAATTCTTGAATTTTTGTTAGACAAAGCTTAATCAATTCAATTTCTTCTCCTATTACTTCGTTTTCTGTTATTAAACATGTCATTTGATCTAAAAGACCTAAGCACTGTGCCCGTATTGAGTAATTTGCATCTTCAAGATTAAATATATGGTTTATTTTACTATCACGCCATTTCTTTGCTGAGATTCTATTCTTTGTTTTCGTGTCTAATTGATCATATTCGATTATTTTTTGAATTTTTGGATCTGTGTAATCTATGATGTTTCTAAATTTATTTGGCCTAGGGACTTCTAATTTTGGTATTGTAGGAAAAGAAAAACGTGGGATTTCGCTCTGAGTATCCATCAAAACTGTTGTCTCCATCAAGTCAAATAACTTTGAACATTCATTCAATTATTATGAAATAATATATTACCCAGATTTTCCTTACTTTTACCACCCCTCTAAAGCTGGAGACACCGCCTATCGTTGGGAGTAGCTATTAAATAGAACCGCCAAGGGTATTTTTCGAACTGCCGGTGTAGTTGAAACATCCGACATAATGATTCATTATGCCAAGGTTTGATTCCCATTTAGCCAATTTTTTTCTTTTTTGGATCATGAATTTTTTTTTGGGTCACTATAAGATTTGTTTCATGTTCTAAATCTGCTGCATATGTAATCTATTTTTATTTACCTATTTTTTAAAAATCTATTGGATTGCCAAATTTGAATATATTTAAAATCATAAAAATCCAAAAAAACTATAAATATATGTTTTATGCATAGTGCCGATACTCAAATATCAGATTACTTAGATCCATGAATAATATCCCAATTTTTTTTCTTAAAATTAAACTTCAAAACTTCTTGCAATCTTATTCTTCATCAATTGTAAATTTTTAAAACCATTTTTTAAAATAATTTTGCGTAAATTTTATTCTCATGTTGTTTTAAGGGTGCCCTATAGACAATAAACCACCCTCAGAAAAGCACTTTTAAGGCTATTATATTGAGAACTAGAATCGGGATAATCCATTCATTCGAGTTCTAATAAGGTTAATTTTGTGATGTTTACATTATCGTTATAGGGCACCCTTAATCGAAAATTGATACATTTTCAAAAAAATAATATTGACTTATGAAATTCATTTTTAAGGTGAAATAGTATTGTTTTTATTAAAGTATATGAATAATATATAAAAAATTAATGAATAATATAAGCAGATTTTTAGTTTACAAAACAAATATGAGCAATGCAATTTCAAACTTTTGCTGGCAATTTCGATATTGCTCAAGTTTGTAGTATTTGTGATACCTATAACATCGGCTTAATCAAAATTCGATTTTTCTTATGAGTTATTGAGAAAATTTGATTGCAATGAGAAGGATTTCGACGTTTTTGATAAACTAAGAGCTGAGCTTTAGGGGTTCAGTTCATTTATGGCTGTAGTTTGATGCGTAGATCTCTTTTTTATTGTAAATTCTTTCAGCATGGAGATCGAGAATGAATCTTTTGAGAACTTTATGAGTTTTTACACCCGTAAAGAGGTCCTTCGAGGAAAGATAGTCCAGACTACATGAAGATGTGGGTTAACCAAAAAAATCCGATGGTTTCCCCATATTCATGTAGATCTTCGAAAAAATGAGCACCAAAAAAGCCAAAAAAATAGGCTTTTTATTGGATTTGTACACTAGATCAATAACCTATTTAGGATCTGACACTCTTTTTAGCCAGAGATATGAGGTCCTTTCTAGGAAAACGATCTATTCATCCATAAAAAAAATGAATTATCGTTTTCCCCAGAAATTACATGGGGAGTGGTAAAAGTAAGGAAAATCTGGGTAGTATACTGTAATAGGGTATATGTCAAACTTTATTAAATATTATTATTCAGAATATTCATAAATATTGAAAGTATTCAATTACCCAGATTTTCCTTAAAGTCATTTCAAGAGCCTTGTACCGATAAACTAGCCTTGTACTGCCATTTTATGGTGATGTAAAGTATTCAAAAAATTTGTAATGTAAACCATTACATGGCAGAAACTTTAAAATAAACAAAAACATGACACTTAGTACAGGGGCTTTTTGGCTGGTGAAGTCAGATAAAACGTGGCTCAAGTGCTCGTTTAAAATTAAAAATGGAATTTCTCACAGTCGAATTTCTTGGTAGACAACAAAAGTTTATCATCAATTGTCGCGCCGAAGGTATGACATATAGTCAAACTAAGCTTGCATGGGAGGAAGAATACCCAGATCTCGGAACTTTAACATCCAATCTCATTGCTACTGCACTTAAAAGAGCTGCATTAGGTCTATACTGGGAAAAAGGGAATCATGGCGGTGCAGATCCATACCTATGCGAGCGTGATCAGCTCACTTTAAAAGAAATTATCGAAGATTCTGCTTACAAAGGTGAAGCTCTAGAAGCAGCTGACATTATTGACGAGGCGTTCAAGTTGAAAGAGCTCAGAAGAGATTATGGTTACAGATTCCTTCTTGAGATTAATTGTCCTACTCTTGCAGAAGAAGTTATCAATACTCTTGGTGGTGATGATGTATCGAGACCTTATGTTAACCATATTTTACAGCAATTGCATTGCAAGCTTAAGGCATGCCAAGAGATTGAAGAATCAAGATACATGGCGTGTGAACCAAGAATTATCGAAGAATTCTACGATAAACATCGTGAAACAATCGAAAGTACTCCAGAGGAGTTGATTTTTAGTATCGATGAAACATTCATAAACAAATTTAAGAAGAAGAAAGTTGCATTACCTGAGGAGATAGAGCATATGATCGCCAAAGGAATTCCAAACTTTCCGCACATTACAGCTTTATGCGGATGCTCAATGACAGGCAAATCTGTCCCACCTCTCTTTGTTCTCCCATGTATTGCAGAACTACCTAGAGAACTGAAAGTATTCCAGCGCGAAAGACATTGTTGGTTTACTTCTACGCCAAAAGGCTGGGTGAACAGAAGTGTATTCTTATTGTATTGCATTTTCTTCATCGAGTGGCTTAACTTTGAACACCAGAGAATGCCAGAAGATATACGTGACAAGCCTGCTTTCATTGTGTGTGATGGACACTCCAGCCGCGAGAATCCTCTGGCATTGTTCCTTTTGGCAAGTGCCAACATCAAATTAATTGTTCTTCCCGCACATACAACACACATTTTACAAGTTTTTGATGTTGGCATTGCCAAAAGATTAAAGTCCAAATTCACGGATTATCTGAGAGATTACATTAAGGCACCGAAGCAAGAGTTCAACAGCAATGCTGCAATGATGCGCTACGCCATTATCTACTCATTTATTAGCGCATGGCAAGAATCAGTATCATTAAGAACGGTTCAAAATGCTGCTGCCGCCTGCGGTCTTTGCCCTTGTTCTGTAGAAGCTCTCAAACATAATAAGTATGTTCGTGAATTGACTCCTGCAGAAAAAGAATTGCAAGAGAAAAGAAATTACCGTAATCGAAATCGTTTTAACATCAATGGTGAAGAATTGACGACGATGGACATGATTTGCGCAATTTCTGACAATATTAAGAAGAATCCTGCAAATCACAGATTTTGCAGGAAGCCAGAACAAGACACCAAGGAACGTTTCTACTTTTGGATTACAAACTATCTTGATCCGAGCACTGAGTTGTTGACAAAACTCCCTAATATGCCAGGTTATAGTCCAAATGATTAGGAAAATTTCCAATTTTCCAACAAAAATTTTCCAATTCTCCACCAAAAATTTTTTAATAAAATATTATTTTACGGCATTGCCCGTCACTTTTTTCGGTACAAGGCTAATATGATGATAACAAATCATTAATTAAAAAAAAAAAAAAAAAAAAAGGTAGTGGGGCTTCCAGGCACTTCGTGCCCTCTAGCCCTGAAGATGTTTAGTATAAATGAAGTTTATATTCGGAGGGCTTCCAGGCACTTCGTGCCCTCTAGCCCATAAGAAATTTTGCCCAAGACCCAAGAGGAGGACCGAACCCCAGCCGACCAGCCGGTGACTTTTTTGTAGAGCACTCAAAATAGTATAACTTTGTCCGGACAAGTAAGGGTCTATCGTCGCTACAGGAAAAGTTACAGGCGTTCCAAGGAAGTATACTTTGAGAAGCCTTTTCTCCCTTATAGAATGAGATAGGACGGTTATTTTACAAAACTGACAACACTTTGACCGAGTAGTTTTTTGTGCTGAACAAAAGTGTCATATAAACATCTGTCAAAAACCGCTTTTTACTTCACTTAAAATGCCACATAAGCTACGTAAGAATATACGTAAGAGGAAGGGAGCATTGAAACATCCAATAGTAAAACTGACACCACAACAACAGTTGCAACAACAAATGATGAATGACCCCACTATGTTGCAACAAATGTCAAGCAACCCTATGCTTTTAAACCGAGTTATTGGTGCACAGAGTGGAGGTTTAAGAGCGGCACTTTTAGCGAAAATGGCAGGCTATGGTGGAGCTGCAGACGGAACAGCTTATAACCCTCAAAGTCAAATGAATTTGAGTTCACTCAAAAATCAAATAACAGATGTCAAAAAGTCAAACATAGACATACAGAAACAAATAAGTGAAAACGAAAAGAAACTAGAATATGACAGACACACAAAGAAACTCAATGAGTTAAACGTAGAGAAAAAGAAGAAAGAAGAACAACTGAAAGAACTAAGTACAGAGGAATATGCGAAAAAAGTGTCCGAAAAAGCAGCAGAAGTAGCAAAAATGGAACAAGATGTCATAAATTTGAAAAACCATACTACTCAATATAAAGTACTGAAAGATGAAGAGATAAAACAAAAAGCCCTGAAGACATATATGGATAGCGATGAGTATAAAAAAGAAGTTGAAGCAAATGTAAAGGCAGAAAAACTTTTACAGTTGCAAAACCAAACCGTACAGTATGAAAACTTAGCACAAGAAAGTAAAAATAACGACGCAGCCATGCAAAAGGCAATGAAAAGCGCAGAATATATAAAAGCTAATAATGACTGGTTAGATGCCCAAGCCAACGCTAAAGCAGCCCAACTTATAGGGTCAATAAGGACAAAAATACAAGCGGATGAAGACAGTTCAAATGAAGCTTTAACAAATGCTGACTTTAAGAACGCCTTCGAAGCTCTTCATAGTAAGGTGAAACTAGTGAACGACTTCTCATCTGGAAAGAAACTGAAGTCTGAAGGTTTCGACAAAGAGTTAAAAGAAGTAGCACAAAATATGACGAAAATAACAGATGCAGCAACGAGACAGGCAGTTCAAAGTGCCTATGACGCCGTTAGAGCAACTGTTGTGGAAAGTCAAGAAAAAGAGTTACAACAGACCAAAACAGACCTAGTAAATGCTTTCTTAAAAACGAAAAGTCAGGTAGGACATTATGCTGCAGATGGAACATATGTGCCAGCTGGTGGAACTTATATACCACCAAACCCTCCAAGAGAAGCACCTGCACCAGGACTACCTAAAACATTTACATCGTCACATGGACACAGACACAGGCATGCACCAAAACCACAACAACAACCAACACAACAACCAACAGTTCAAAACCCTGCACCACAACAACAACCAACACAGCAACCAACAGTTCAAAACCCTGCACAACAACCACCTCCACAACCAGCACAACAACCACAAACAGAGCAAGGACATAAAAGAAGTAGAGAACAAGGAAACCAAGAATTCTTAAAAATGCTTAAGGAAGATTATGGTTACCCAGATACTCTTGACTTTAGTGACAGATATAAAGAAGCTATTAGAAAGTTCAAGGAAGGAAATACTGACCCGAACCTATTTAGCTTTATGGTTCAGCACCAAATGGGATATAATTTCAAACCTGGAAAATACAAGCTCGCTAAGGGATATGATTTAATAGCATACCATCCAAATGACATGGATGAATTTACTCCAAGATATTTGGTGTCAGAGCTAAATGATAATTCAACTCTCTTCATGAAACGCGTAAAAAATAGAGACGGAACGAAAGAAGAAAGGTTTATGAGTCCGGATGACTTAGATAGGGAACTTGTTGAAAACGGTCTCGGAATATATGAAATGCCACCAGATGAGGTACAAGAAACTCCACAGGAAGAAGTTCAGATACAACCAGACATGGAAGAAATAGTTCAGCAACAACAGCTAGAAGAGCCTGAAGGAAACGAACAAGTCCCTCCTTTGGAAACTAACTTCACAGAACTAGATGAAGATTTGGAACAGCCGAAAAATCTTGACCCTCAACAAGTGTATGCGGAGAATATGGAATCTTTCCAAGAGTCTAAGAAAAATTCGGCTGACATAGTAGAAGAATATCGAAAAATGTTTCGCCGACATACAAAAGACTCCAACATCAGATGAAAATATTCAGCATAGAATGGAAGTACTGAAAGAAAATGTACGCAAATACAACAATCCTTTTTACTTACGACCATATAACGTTCAATCTTTGGCTGAACTCGGTGAAAATAAAAGGTTAAATTTCAACAAAACATATAGAAATGAAACATTGTTTAAAGTTCATTCAGAAACCTAACCAATATGGAAACAAACCTACTTTTGTTTCTGCAGACTATGGAACTACAATGAGATGGGGTCATAAAGCTAATCCGGATAGGTGGTTCATAAACTTACAACCACAATTCCAAGAAGTTGTAGACGCAATGGAAGTGAATGGTGAACCAGATATAGCTGGTATTTTCAGCGCGGCTTTAATGCCATTGAAAGATATGAAACATGCAGATATTTTGGACCAGTATGAAATGAACATGGCTGATGGAAATATAACACCTGACGTTCTAGAACATTTATCTCAAAGAACTACACAGAACCATAGAGATGGTATATTTGGTGAAGAGTTTAGAAAGAAAGTTAGGGAGAGAGAAGGAAGAGAACCTATTGTACATGACCTTGCAAACGAAAGTTTGCAAAATGTCATAAAAACTTACTTTGCAGACAATGAAATGAGAAGGGATGAATATTTAAGAAAACTCAAATGGACAGTACCAAATGAAATGTTAGTATTGAAAAACATGTTCCTTGACAAAATAAAACCAACTACAGAAATAAATGACGCAAGACTGAAAGATTGGGTAAAAGCTTTCCCATTCACAAAAGATATTATTGGTAACATGGAAAGAAAACCAGAATGGCTACAAAAACATATATTTGGAAACGAGCTTATTCCATATGGACAGGCTCTGTTTGAAGAGCTTGAACCGGAAACTCAGGAAAGAGTCATGCAAACAATACGCGAAGACTCAAATACAAACTATGACAAAATCTTTCTAGGATATAGGTTACCTGAGATGGGCGACCAGAGCCCAAAGGCAAAAAGGACATGGGAAATTAACAACATACTAGGTGAACATGAGGCAAAGATGCTACAACTTGAAGCAGAGGGCAAGTTACCAAAAGCGACACCAAAGAAGAAGAGAAGAGTAGAACAAAGTGAAAGTAGTGAAGAAGTAACTTCATCTAGTGAAAGTAGTGGCAATGAAGGAAAAAGAAGAGTTAAAAACTCAGTCAGGAAGAAAGTAAAGCTTGGTCCGAAACGATTATGACAAATAAATCCAACTATTCTATATTTTTACCAATATGAAATGTACGCCGCTCAGAATATAACGCCAACAGTTTTGGATGCCATGAACGGAAATGTTTCCGAATGGTATAACGAATGCGACAATGCCATTAGAAGGTCAGAAATAGTTCCTGGAACTTACGAATATACAACTGCTGTTTCTTATGGAAACGTAGGTGAGTTTGGAGAAGGTTCTTCAACAACAGTAGATATTGCTTGCGACAGGTTTCACATTATTTCTATTGACAACTCATTCTTATACGTGGAACAAGATATTGAAATAAAACCTTCTGCCAAGTTGTCTGACAAGAAAGGTTGCAATGGAATTTTCTATGTCGGATACCAATATGCTCCAGAAGTTTTCATGGGATATAAGATATATTCTAACTCTGACTTAGTTCAAACAGTAACATGGGCAAACTATGAATGGTTCGCTTTGAGAAACTCAGTACAACCACAAGCTAGAGAACAAACAGACCAGTATGCAACTATTGAGAAAATAAGAAGACTTGACCCTAACGTTCCAGGAGTTTATGTTAACCTTTCTGGACAAACTGCAGCAGCAGTAACCAAAGTAAAACTGAAACTTAGAGTTCCTTTGTCATCTTTCCTCATCTTCAGGTTTTTAAGATACTTGCCAAACTGGGCAGGAAAAATTTCTATGAACTTACTCCAAGCAAAAATAACTTAGTCATTGCACCAACACAAGACCCATTCACTATTACAGACGTAAAGGGAACAAATAAAACATCATTCGCCGAATTTTGCAAAGACAAAGTTGACTTAGACTTTGGTTTCTCAAACTTCAACAATGAAGTAAACTTATTTCAATGCTGCTGGAAATGCTTGGGACCCAGTTAAGTTCACATGCGAAAAATTTGAATGCAAGAGAATAGAAAGCAGACTTGCAGTCTATATGTTGGACCCAGATATTTCAAATGCTTTAGCTGCCAAATATATTGCAGTTCCACTTATGTTCCCTATACACCAAATATCTGTCAAAGACTTTGCAGGTGAAGTTGGAAACCAAAGTGCTGACCCAGGTGCAAGAACAGATATTGCTTTAACAACTGCAATGAAACATGCAGATACTATGTTTGTACTGTTCAGACGAACTATAAATGACTATTCTTGTTTCTACAACCCTGGTATTAAATATCATATAAACATAGATGGCAAATATTATCCAAGAGAAGAATATTCTACAGTTGAGGATATGAGGTCATACAACTTGACATTAGATGCTATGAACTTTAACAACAACTTCACAACAACTATTAACCCTGAAATGCAAAGTTCTATTATGCCATATGTGAAAGTATGGACTCATACAGGAGGTCAAAAAACTCAATATACAAATGGAGACCGTTCAAACTTTTGGCTTGGCATTCCATTTGCTGACTCAGAAGACTTTATGGGTGGTATTTCAACTGTTGGTACAGTTCAAATACATATACTGGTGACAGAGACGGTCCAGATGAATTGAGAGCAAAGAAGTTTACAAAACCAATAGCACTTTTCACGGAAGATGCTCTTTTGAAGATTCGTTCGATGAAACCTGCTGGGGCTCCTCAGATTGGTATAACGACAGCTTCCATCGAGCAGATTTTGGCAGCAGGTCAGTAAGTTGTTCTTGAACTGACTTCTCTCCGTCAAATATTGACAGTACGCCAGTTTTGACATAATATTGTATTATAAACTTACCTTTAGAAAATATCTGTAAGTTTTGAAGTTATATTTTTGTCTGCTTCAAGAACTTTCACCATTTCAGTTATACCAACTTTCTTTGCTTTATGAAAATATTTTGGTTCAGCAAAGACTGCTATTCTATAACATTTTCCATTGTTTGTGTAAAGAACTATTCTGTCAATGTATTTGTATTGTTTGTGTGTGTAAACTTTGTTTTGCTTCAATTCGAAGAGATACTCAAATACGTCCATCTTTTTATTCTAAGTAAAATGTCATTTCCGAAAAATAGAAGCGTAAGTGTTTCAAAAGGTTTAATGGCGGTGGCAGATGTGAAGTTAAATTCACCAACTCAAACAAACAGTCAAAGTGTTATTGTCAATGTCAAAGACAGAGATGTTGAAATGGGGAAACCATACGAAGACCAAGATGGTATAACAATTGTTCCTGTAAAAGAACAACCAACATATCCTGAAGTTAGCAGAGACTTAAGTTCTGTTGCAGATATTCGAAACGACTACCAACAACTGAAAGACAAACTTAAAACTCAGGAGAAGATTTGTCAAGCTTTAAGTATAATGTTAAACTTGGTCGAACACAACCCTGTAAAGTGAACTCATATGTCATTGCACCTCATGAAGTTTTGAAAGAACTATTGAAACTTTTGACAGAGGCAGACGATATAAACATCAAAGAAATAGAACCCGACATTGGTTGCTGTGGTGTTTCATATAATGTCATTGACAAGATATACGTTATGAAAGGAGGTGAAACGTTGAACTTAAAGTATAGTTTCCCAGACGTCATAAAAATATTTGACGACCACAACATTTCATTAAAATTTATTTGCTAAGTAAATGGCAGAAGACATAATGGTTTATACTATTACGACTAAAAACCCTGAGTCATATAATTCTATAACAACAAACTTACAAAGTCCTCAAGGACGATATTGTAAACTAACCTTAAACACAATGACGACTAAAGCCTGTTTTGCTCTTTTGACACCAGAAGACTTTATTGTTGTGAATGGTAAAAAATACTCCTTTGAAGATACTTACTCAGATATACCACCAACAGGTTTTGTTGACTTATTTAATACTTTAAGTACGGGTGTAACATGTGCTGCAACTAGAGCAGGTTTCATTATGTTTGGATGTCCGACTGAGTTTACTATAAACGATATGAGCTATAATACAAAACTTATTTCTGGTTTTTACTACCAACAGTTTCCTATAACAGGAAAAGGTGTCATACAAGGAATGTCTATTCCATTGACATTAAGCACACCAATCTTATATATTGTTTCAAACTTAGGTTCAAAGTGTTATTCGAATGTCGACAGAAACTATTATGACCAAAAGATACTTATGCGTATAAACAATACTTTCTCTGCTGGTTTGCCTATTGTTCATTCGAATGCAGAATTTTCAACCTTAGTGAACTCAAACACTTTGGCAAGTATAACGTTGACATTAGTTGACGCAAACTTTGTTCCTGTAAAACTTTTATGTCCTATGTATTTGTCAATGACGGCAGAAAGTTTCGAATTGGAAGATGCAACTGGTGAAAGTATTGTATTACAAGAACAACTTCAACAACAAATAGCTCAAGAACAACAAATGCAACAAATGGAACAACAAAGTCAAGAATAAAAAAAAATATTATTTTTTTATTTTTATAAAAATGTACAGAATAGATGTTTCAGATTTTTATGACTTCCAAGCATTCAGAAATATGTGTCCATTTCGAGACTATAACAAAGCAGTCGAGAATTTGAAACGTTTAGTCATTTATGTTGACTCTGCCCCAGAATGTTATGTCATGAAAGAATGGGATGTTGTCTTTAACAAACCTAAAGCGACAATAGTTTCAGAACAAGAATGTAGACAGAAACTTAAGAAAATAAAAGTCGTACAAGTTGGCATGAAGATGTTAGATGCTTGGGATATCTTATTGTCAAAGTTAGAAGATTTTTCAGTTCGAGGTATAAAGTTCTATACACCTTCTCCAAACTTCTATTCTATCTTCACTGGATATAAATACGAACAAGTAGAATGGAAAGAAAATATTATAGAAGCTTGGTTAGACCATGTCAAAGAAATTATATGCAATGGAAACGAAAGAGTCTATGAGTATATCTTATGTTGGTTTGCAAACATCTTACAACATCCAAGTGCTAAAAATGAAACTGCTCTCATTATAATTGGAAAACAAGGAACTGGTAAGAATACTTTCTTTACAGATATTTTGTGCAAACTGTTAGAGGGCTATTCGAATCCGAATATGACAAACTTAGAAAACATCTGTGGCAAGTTTAACTCCTCAATAGAGAATATGAAACTTATAGTTTGCAATGAACTTCAAAGTATAGATACAACAAAAATTTTGAACTCAGATGCTTTGAAGAGTCTTATAACAGATAAAGTTGGAGTTGTTGAAAGAAAGTATAAAGACCAAAGAGTTTGTGAAAATGTTGCAAACTTCATTATGGTTTCAAACAATGCTGTTCCGATGAAGTTAGAAAGTTCTGACAGAAGATATGTAGTTGTCAGAACGTCAGATTCTCATATGCAAGATACAGAATATTTTGACGACTTAGCAGAAACTTTGACATCTGACTTTTACAACCACTTGTTCTCATATTTCATGACATTAGATATTTCTAAGTTCAATCCAAGACAAATTCCACATACCGAAGAGAGACAAACATTGTTAGAAGCAAACAAGAGTGTATATGAACTGTTCATAGATGAAACTGACTTTGAGTGTTTAGATGAAAGGTCATTGTACGATTCGTATAAACAATATTGTCAAGAATATGGTTATATGGCAGCGTCTAAACGTACATTCTTGGCAAATGTCAAAAGTCTTTTAGACGTACAGAATGGTGTATATACAAAGAAAAATTTTTCTGAGTAAATTTTAAAAAAAAATATTTTTTTATCCGATAGAAAAGATGACAAAATTCATCTCAGTAAACAAGTATATGTCAGGACTTAAAGAAGAACTAGACCCATTCACATATTTGAATGTTTACTTCTACATTTTGAAAAGTCTTCATTCAGCAAAGTTTGGAACATCGAACCAGTTAAGTTTGCTATTGTGACTAAAAATGGTGCGAAATTTGAAGACTTAGACATAGAAGGTTTGTTAACAGTCAAAGAAAGTTTTGAACAGAAGGTTCTCAAACCTTAAAGAAGGCAAAGCATACAAACTTGTTATACCTTATGAACCAAAGAAGACAGACGACTATGAATATTATGAGTCTAAAGTTGTAGAAGTTCAAGGTAAATTGGGTAAAAAGCTATTAGAGTCTAAGCCAGTGTTTGCTCCTAAAGAGGAAGAGAACATTGACATTGACCCAGAAATGTTCTAAAAATAAAATTTTATTTTTACATGTCATATCTCCCCTTCTCTGGAACTGGTTCAGGTTCTTTCTTCTCTTCTTCTACTTTCTTTTCTTTTTTTCTCTCTTCTTCTTTTCTGGTGGAGTTATGTCAAATTTGGCGCAACTATATTTATGTAAAAGTTCTTTGTCCTTTAATAGCTCATCTATTCTGTTTTCTATTTCATCTTCAAGAACAGCGCATGTGTCTTCTTTGCATTCTAAGAACTTTTGTTGGACTTCATCTTTCCAATCGGCGTCATCTCTGTCAACAAGTCTGTCATTGACAAATTTTAAGACTGCTCTGCTTAATGTTTTATGGTTCTTGTCATATTCCCAGAAACAGAACTTTAGAACAAATTCACCTTTCTTGTTTACACTATGTAAGATTTTATGGTCGACAGATGTTTTGCTGTCGAAAAGCTTGTCTCGAATATAGATAGCGAAATCGCTAGACATTTTCTAAAAGATAAAAATTTTAATTTTTCTAAAAATATGTTAGAAAAAAAGTTTGCTGACATTGACAAGAAATTTGAGAATGTTTTAAACAAGAACAAGGTGAAGTTAGAAAATGCTCAGATAAAGCCTATACATGACAAGTTCTTATTTGCTCAGAATGGTATAACAGGTCTAATTGCACCACCTGGGTCGGGTAAGACTTTCACTTATCTTAAAATGGCTGCACAACAACAAGAACTAGATGAGAAGAACCCATTCTATGAGTTAGTAGTCATTTGTTCGACTTCTGGTCAATTTGACCAAACCGTCAATTCGTTCAAAGATATTATAAAGAAGTCTAAGTTAGTATGTATAAAAGACTCTGAGTTGTTAGATTGGATAAAGAAGTACCAAAGAAGAGTTTTGAAGTATAATGCTATAAATGAGTTTATAAATTCTAAGTTTAAAGACCCAAATGAGGAAATGCAGAGAATATTAGAGAAGAAACACTTCAGAAACAAACAGAAAGAGATAGAATACATTTCGAAGAAATTGCAATCTTACGATTGGAAAACGTACCCTCACAGATGTCTTCTTATTTTAGATGATTTCGCCTCTCATCCTTTGTTAAAGAACAGAGAACAAGATATGTGTCGAATTCTTAAGAAGCTCAGACACTTTAACATCTCAGTTGTCATTTGTGTACAGACAGCCAAGAGTTTAAGTAAGGATGTTAAAAGAATACTTACTGACATAATACTTTTCCCCGGATTGTCCGAAGACGATTTCATGGAACTTATGAAAGAGTCCATGGCAGGTAAGTTTGACAGACATGAACTATGGGAGAAGTACAAAGTCATACAAGACCCTCATACTTCTTTCAGAATTCATATCTACGCAAACAAAGTTCAAATTGTAAAAAGTCAAGCGTAAAAATAAAGAGTGCAATTTACTCTACTTGTTTGAAGTTGTCAAAATACTCTGTTATTTTTTCCTTTAACAATGGCAAATCTTCTTTGAATGTAAGTATTGTACAACCTTTAATATCATAGTGTGTTTGAGGTAAAGTATCTTGAACTATTTGTTTCACATCTTCATTTGGGGTCATTGAAATCGGTAAGTTTTCGCGATAGAACCAATTTCTGTCAGATTTGTAAATCTTAGCAAGGTCGTAAAAGCTCTTGTTGTTTCTTCTGACTAAATGCAACATAACTATATCTTTATCTTCTTCATTTTCCATCTCTTCAGTATAAATCATATACTTATAGTTCTTTTCCTTTCCTTTTGGTACCGAACGTGGTATTCTTTTCTGAATGCTTTTGTCTTTTGCTTCAAGCTTGTTCTCTAGCTCTTCACGTTCTTGTCTATGAATTTCGTCAAGAAGTCTGTAAATATACCAAGCATAACGAGGTGAAGCCCACATTGCAACAGCATTTACAAGAAGTCTATGTACATACCAACCTCTCAAACCGTTTGGCAATTTTTCACGATTTTCATAGAGTTTTGGCGACTGGGGTTTTTTACCTACTCGCTGTTCTTCACTGTTTTCAGAAAAAAGTATGTCTCGCTGTGCTTCGCTCAAAAGTTCTTGTGTGCTTTGGTTCCTAAACCAGTCTTTAGGAAGCTTAGTATCTGGAGCAAAACATGCTGTCAAAATACTTTGCATTTGGTACATATCGTCTTTGACCGAACGAATGAGACGGAGTTGTTTGTTAAACTGAACCCACTCATATTCTTCATCTATAGCTTCATGGACTATAACTGTTGTTGTGTTCTCTGTTGTTGACATTACTGTCTTTACATACAAAATAAAAAAATAAATAAAAATAAAACTAACTTTATTTTTTCTATCTTAAGGAAATTCATGATTTTTGTTGCTGAATTCAGTAAAAATATATTTTAGGTGAAGCCCACATTGCAACAGCATTTACAAGAAGTCTATGTACATACCAACCTCTCAAACCAGGAGCCAAATTCTTGCGATTTTCGTACGGAATCTCTACCCTCGGTTTTCCGAGGGTAGCAAACATATGAGGAAATTCATGAATTTTGGTCATTTTTTCACGATTTCAGGGATTTTTTTGACGAAGAGTAAAGTTCACTTCGTAAAAAAATAACAGTTATATCATGATTTTTGGTCATTTTTTCACGATTTCAGGGATTTTTTGACGAAGTGTTAAAGTTCACTTCGTAAAAAAATAACAGTTATATCATGAAAATTCAAGAGGGTGAGAAAACAGGTGAAAAAACGGGTGAGATCTCACCTCTTCACCTAAATTATATTTTTGCTGAATTCAGCAACAAAATTCAAATTGTAAAAAGTCAAGCTTGAAAAATCTAAGTGTTTAGTCTTAGTAAGATGGTAGCTTCTTAAAGCAAATACCATTGCTGAGTTTTATGTACGTGAAGAGAAGTACAATGAATTCAATTACGAGTACAATTGCAATGACAACTAAGGCAACTATTTTTGTCTTTTGCCAGCAAGGGTACTTCTTCTCTTCCAATGGTTCGGCAGAACTATACTCACTCATGAGAAATGCCAAAACGGTTTAATAGAAAAAGTGTCATTTTTTCATGTCCGAAGACTCGAAGGTGCAACACTTCCAAAATACCGACGAACTCAGAAGAGCAGCATGGCAGTATCTTCTTGACAACTTCTTTGAGTTCTCCAGGTACACCTTGGAAAATGCTGAAGAACTCCGACACAGAGAATTTGGAGAAATGGGATAGATTAAAGGCTTTCCCGAACTGCCTCCTCAGCCTATGCCTTACTTCCCAACCCTTGTTGGTTCAGCAAGCTCAACCCAGCATCTCAATCTCAATCCAATTCGAAGAGTAGACAAGAAGTTGAAGAAGGTCTGAAGCTTACGCAAAGAATTATGCCTTAGAGCCCCGAGGAAGAGATAGCTTCTGCATCTCATTCATCATAATCGGACCGATTCATCTCAGCACACGAATTCGGTCAAAGACAGAGACGACTACTCAAGCCAGTCTGAAGACTCTTCATCTACAATCAGTTATAGGTTGGACTCTCAAGAAAACGCAATTTACGCAAGGCAGACACCAAGCTGCGACTGCAAAACAGACTACTCACAGAGCCGTCAACGTCAAGACAAGGACTGACGATAGTCACTTCACTTTGCAGCTTGCCCATACAATAAAAAATAACAATTACGAGTTAAACTTTTATTCTTTCTTTCTGATTTGTTTAGAGCTGGTTCTCTTGTAGGAACCTTTCGTATCTTCCACAGGTTGGAATTTATGCGAAATATTTGGTACGCAATTCGCAGGTTCTTGTTTTGAACCTTGATGTATGTTATAACGGGTGCTTCATCACATCCTCAGGGAATAAGCTCGCTAGGCATCGTGACCAAGTTTCTCGTGACATCGGAGTCATAAAATGTGACCTTTAAACGTTGAAGTGTTTGTTTGATTTTAAACCTTTGTTTACCCTTTGTTTGTCAAGGTAGTATTGGATTGCAATTTCTCCAAATTCTCTGTGTCGGAGTTCTTCAGCATTTTCCAAGGTGTTCCTGGAGAACTCAAAGGTTGTCAAGAACATACTGCCATGCTGCTCTTTCTGGTTCGTCGGTATTTTGGAAGTGTTGCACCTTCGAGTCTTCGGACATGAAAAAATGACACTTTTCTATTAAACCGTTTTGGCATTCATGAGTGAGTATAGTTCTGCGAACCATTGAAGAGAAGAAGTACCCTTGCTGGCAAAGACAAAAATAGTTGCCTTAGTTGTCATTGCAATTGTACTCGTAATTGAATTCATTGTACTTCTCTTCACGTACATAAAACTCAAGAGACGGCATATGCTTTAGAAGCTACCATCTTACTAAGACTAAACACTTAGATTTTTCAAGCTTGACTTTTTACATTTTGAATTTTACACCAAATATATATTTTAGGGTAGAAGGTTAGATCTAACCTGTTTTCTAACCTCTTTTCTTACCTCTTGAATTTGTCATGAGTTTTCCCGAAATAAAAATAAAGTTGGTTTTTTTTAAAAAATATTTTTTATTTTATTGTAAGAACATGTTAGCAACAACAGCACAACTCGTTAGTCATGAACCCAACTTCAATGTTAGTAGAGATGAAAAAGCTTCATTCCTTCTTCATATACTTTTGAAACAAAAATCCAGAATAAAGCAAGACTTTTAACAAGTAAATTAGACTGTAGTGCGAAAGATGAAACAAATGAAACGTATCTTTATGAAATGCAGGACATTATTGACCAATCTACCTAAACTTCCTGAAATACAACAACAAAAGCTTACTATTCCAGAATTCGATGAAATAGAAGTCAAAGCAACTGACTCAGTAGAATAAAGAAGTTCATACGAAAGGTTAACTATGAGTTTCTTGGATTTCATTGCAACCACAAAGTCATGGACAAAGATTGCGACATGGTATATAAGAACATCTCTGACATATACAAATCTGAAGAGTTTAAGACACTACGACAACTTTGTTTCGTTAGTTGCAAAATGTTATGGCAGATAAGAGATAAAGATAGAAGAGGTAAGGTATGGAATGAACAGTAAAACCCGCAACTTTTGAGTTAAAGAGACAATTGACGCGCTTAGTCATACTAGAGTAAGATTTCAATGTACAATGCTAAAATGAACCCACAATGTTCAAAATGTAAAGCAGCAATGAGGAAATATAACTACTCCGTCAAAGAGATAGACGTATGCGAACGACTATGCTGACTTAAGAAAGAAGTAGAGAAACCAGCAGAAGATAAAATGGAATGTTGACATTTTCTGAACAAAAACTATCCAAACAGCTGACGATTTCCTCTATCTGATGTCAAGAAGAAATATAAAGAAACCTTCGGGCATTGTTAAACATTCGATGTACTGACGAAGAAATAGAAAGCTACGAAATTGTTTATAGAATTTCACGAATTCAAATGTTTACCATGTAAAACGCTTATAAAATAACTGGGGTAGAAATGAGGTTAGAAAACAGGTTAGATCTAACCTTCTAACATAAACATTATTTTTATGAATTCCGTATGAAATTTCATGAATTTCCTCATATGCTTGCTTCCCTCGGAAACGCGAGAGAAACAGCGAGTAGTGAAAAAACCCTGGTCGCCAAAAACTCTTTATTTTTCAAGCTTGACTTTTTACAATTTGAACTTTGTTTGCGTAGATATGAATTTCTGAAAGAAGTATGAGGGTCTTGTATGACTTTGTACTTCTCCCATAGTTCATGTCTGTCAAACTTACCTGCCATGGACTCTTTCATAAGTTCCATTGAAATCGTCTTCGGACAATCCAGGAAAAGTATGATATCAGTAAGTTTTTTAACATCCTTACTTAAAACTTTGGCTGTCTGTACACAAATGACAACTGAAATGTTAAAGTGTCTGAGCTTCTTAAGAATTCGACACACTGTCTTGTTTTCTGTTCTTTAACAAAGGATGAGAAGCAAAGTCATCTAAAGTAAGACATCTATGAGGGTAAGTCTTCAATCGTACGATTGCAATTTCTTCGAAATGTATTCTATCTCTTTTCTGTTTGTTTCTGAAGTGTTTCTTCTCTAATATTTCTCTGCTTTCCTCATTTGGTCTTTAAACTTAGAATTTTATACTCTATTTATAGCATTATACTTCAAACTCTTCTTTGGTACTTCTTTATCAATCTAACAACTCAGAGTCTTTTAAATACTAACTTAGACTTCTTTATAATATCTTTGAAACGAATTGACGGTTGGTCAAATTGACCAGAAGTACTACAAATGACTACTAACTCATAGAATGGGTTCTTCTCATCTAGTTCTTGTTGTTGTGCAGCCATTTTAAGATAAGTGAAAGTCTTACCCGACCCAGGTGGTGCGATTAGACCTGTTATACCATTCTGAGCAAATAGGAACTTGTCATGTATAGGCTTTATCTGAGCATTTTTTAACTTCCTCTTGTTCTTGTTTAAACAATTCTCAAATTTCTTGTCAATGTCAGCAAACTTTTTTCTAACATATTTTTAGAAAAATTAAAATTTTTATCTTTTAGAAAATGTCTAGCGATTTCGCTATCTATATTCGAGACAAGCTTTTTGACAGCAAAACATCTGTCGACCATAAAATCTTACATAGTTGTAAACAAGAAAGGTGAATGTTTGTTTAAAGTTCTGTTTCTGGGAATATGACAAGAACCATAAAACATTAGGCAGAGAAGTCTTAAATTTGTCAATGACAGACTTTTGACAGAGATGACGCCTCTTGGAGAGATGAAGTCCAACAATTCTTAGAATGCAAAGAAGACACATGCACTGTTCTTGAAGATGAAATAGAAAACAGAATAGAAGAGCTATTAAAGGACAAAGAACTTTTACAAAAAATATGGTTCTGAGAATTTGACATAACTCCACCAGAAAAGAAGAAGAGAGAAAAGAAAAGAAAAGAAAGAAAAGAAAGTAGAAGAAGAGAAGAAAGAACCTGAACCAGAGAAAAAGAAATTTGACATGTAAAAATAAATTTTATTTTTAGAACATTTCTGGGTCAATGTCAATGTTCTCTTCCTCTTTAGGAGCAAACACCGGTTAGACTCTAAAATCTTTTTACCCAACTTACCTTGAACTTCAACTATCTTTAGACTCATAATATTCATAGTCGTCTGCTTTCTTTGGTTCATAAGGTATAACAAGTTTGTATGCTTTGCCTTCTTTAAGGTTTGAGAACCTTCTGTCAAAATTTTCTCTTGACTGCTAACAAACCTTCTATGTCTAAGTCTTCAAATTTCGCACCATTTTTAGTCACAATAGCAAACTTAACTGG